GCCAACAACCACACTGGAGATCATGCCTCTGGCACCAGAGGTCAAGCTCTGCCTCTTACCAGTTGGACTGGGACTGATGGATCAGATTTCTACACAGTAAGTTTAAGGTTAGCCCAGGTAACATAATGAGACTGACTCAAGAATAAAACAGAAGCTGGGTGTGGTGGCTCATGTTTTTAATCTCAGGGAGATAGAGGCAGGTGGATCTCTGAGTGAGAGATCAGCCTGTTCTATAGAATATGTTAGTTTCAGAACACACAGAGCTACACAGAGAGACCTGTCTGGAAAAACAAATAAATTAACAAACGGCCAAAACCAAACTAACAAAAACCTGAAGAATAATCAGTTATTGAATATTTGTCTAGGATGTACAAAGCTCTAGCATATACTGTAAACACGAATGTATACATACATATTCATTCCTATGAAGACCAACTTTTCCTGTATAATCTGTAGACATTACCTCCTATTCAAATGAGTATGGCTCAACTTTGAGGTCATCCTAATTATTCTAGTAACATGAACTCACTGTACAGAAATGCATCCAGAAGAAGTAGACTCACACCTGCTAGGCAGACTGTGGAAGAGGTGGAGGTAATTCCTTCAGAAGACTTTTGAGACACACTGTGGATGGTTGCTTTCTCATAAAAAGCCTGGATTTGACATAGCTTTTCTCATTGCAGAAAGGGAATTGTATTAGGTTCCTCCAAGGAATGGAGATGGCATTTTATTTACTTATCTACCTAGATGTAGATTAAAGAGATTTATTTCATTTACACGAGCAGTGCTGGGAATCAAACCTAGAACCTTGGGCCTGCTAGGGTGATGCTCTACCACTGAGCCGCATACCCACTACTAATGAGATTGGTCATAAAGAGTGGTCCATGATATTACTGTGGCTAAAAGGTGTTAGGACATGAGGTCTGCCCGCTGCAGACCCAGGAGAGCCAATGGTGTCTGTTCTAATCCAAATGCAAGAAAGCACAAAAGGTCACTCGGAACTTAGCCTTGTACTCTGTCCCTCTCTTCATTTGGGTGAGCCCATCCATGTGTAGGAAGGCATCTGGTTAACTGGATGCTAATTTCATTCAGAAATGCTCTCATGGATACACCCAGATGTTTGACATCCTATGGCCTAGTTAAAGCATCTACACACACACACACACACACACACACACACACACACACACACACACACGCATGCACGCACGCGCACACACACACACGCACACACACACACACATACACACGCGCACACACACACATACACACACACATACACACACACACACCTACCTTATAGGGATGGAAAAAACATGTCCTTTTGTCTTCTAGAACTTCTACTCAGGAAGGGGCACGTGGGGTAGGGGTGGGGTTGGGGAGTATTAGTAAGCATTCTGGGATTGCTCAGGTCAAATGATTTTAAGAAGGAGGACTTAAAAATAAAAATGAAGCACACACCTCTTTGTAAAATGTTCATATTCATGAGGTCCTATGTGATGTGATATGGTGTGTGTGTGTTGGGCGGGTGGTTTGCCTGCATGTGTCTGGGTACCACATGCATTAAGCGCCGCCAGTGGAGGCCAGAAGAGAGTACTGAATCCTCCTGGTCTGAGTGACAAACAGTTGTGAGCTGCCAGGTGGGTGCTGGGAATCAAACCTGGGTCCTGTGGGAGAGCAGCCAGTGTTTCTAAATGCTGAGCCATCTCTCCAGTCTCCAGCACACATTTCTTACTCCAGAGCCACTTCCAGTCTGCTCAGGCTGACAAAACAAAATACCGCAGACTGAGCATCTTAAAGGGTACAAATGTGTTTTCTTGGGCTGAAGATCAAGTACAGGTAAGGTGTGATTCTCCTGTGGCCTAGCTCCTTGGTGTGCCTATGGCCTTCTTGCTGTATCCTCATATGGCCTTTGGGAGTCATGCCTAGTCTCTCTCTCCTCTTTAAGGATACCAGTCCTGTTGGATTAGGGCCTTATCCTTAAAAATAATATGTATGTATATGAATGCTTTGCCTGCATGTATGCATGTGCACCTACACAGGCCAGGAGAGGGCCTCAGAACCTCTGGAACTGGAGTTAAAGACTGTTAGGAGCTGCCATGTGGGTGCTGGGAATTGAACCCTGGTCCGCCGCAAAAGCAATATATTGTAGGAACTCATATGGCCTTTGGGGTGCTGGCCCATTAAGGTGTGGGCTCAGGTGCTATGCGTGAATGGATAAGGGGGCAGAATTGTGCTCTCCCCCCCCCCTCTCTCTCTGGTGGTGGTTGTGGGTTGGATCACAGTCTCCAGCTCCTCAGTGCAGAAGACCTTGATGGTGCCCCCCCAAAGTATTTGTTATCCTTTTATTTGGGCTTTAGTGGTCTTCTTTATACCTGTCCACAATTGGTGCTCAACACTTTTGGAAGGCAATCTGTATGCCATCCAAAAGTAATGTTTATCTGTTAGTTTGTTTTGACTCTTTGAAATGGGAAGAATTTTTCTGATAATATTTTCCATGTTTCATTGAGTGTATTTTGTTTGTCAAATTATGATCGTCATTTCCAATGGTATGAATCTTCTCAACTAAGCTGTCATTAGCAACAAGTGGTCTTGAGAGCTGAGCCATCTCTTCAGACCTAGGGTCTTCTCTTTAATCTCCAAATACACCCCATTGGGAATTAGGGCTTCTAAATGGGGAGGCAGATGCTAATAATTCCATAAATGACAGTCAACACTCTTTTTATTTATCTGGAATCAGTTAGCATTTGTAATATAGTCATGGGTCCATCAAATCTCATTATAGAATGCAATTAAATGCCATCATGATTACTAGTATCATCAACTTTATCCTTAGTCATTAAGAGACTGCTCATAAAGTCGGTGGTGGTGGCGCACGCCTTTAATTCCAGCACTCGGGAGGCAGAGGCAGGTGGATCTCTGTGAGTTCGAGGCCAGCCTGGTCTAAAGAGCTAGTTCCAGGACAGCCTCCAAAACAATACTGAGAATCCTGTCTCGACCCCCACCAGAAAAAGAGCCTGCTCATAGTATATTTAGTGGCTTATGAAAAAGACTTGAGAAATTAATTTATTCAGGTGCATTCTCTGAGCCTAAGATGAACAACATGACAGAGATGTTGCAATTTTATAGGAGTATTGAAATGTGTATACACACAACCTATAATCCAAAGAACATAAAATATTAAGTAATAAATGAATAGAAGAAGTAATAGAATAACCATAGGAGTTTGAAAGAGAATTAAATTGTGGAATTAATAACAACCATTCTTTTTTTTTTTTTTTTTTTTTTTGGTTTTACAAGACAGGGTTTCTCTGTATTGTTTTGGAGGCTGTCGGTCCAGCAGCCTGGCCTCGAACTCACAGAGATCCGCCTGCCTCTGCCTCCCGAGTGCTGGGATTAAAGGTGTGCACCACCACCGCCTGGCAATAACAACCATTCTTTATTGAGTATTTGCCATGAGCTGGACACGATTTAATTATGAGTCTCTATTTTTATTTATTTATAGTTTAAGTTTTTGGTTTTTCAACACAGGGTTTCTCTGTGTAATAGCCCTTCCTCAGTGTAGCCCTGGCTGTCCTGAACTTGCTCTGTAGACCAGGCTGGCCTCAAACTTAGAGATATCTGGCCTGTTTCTGCTTCCTTTGTACTGAGTCTCCCTTTTGAAGCTATTACGTTATAAGACTGTGACCTGCCTGGGTCCTTCCTCTCTGTGGGCCCTGGGATGCTTCAGGGGAGCTGCTGGTCCAGCATGTCTGTCCCAAGCACTCTTCATAGTGTGTTACGTGGAGGTGACTTTTCTGGAACATTTGGAGTGGGCAGTCTCAGCTTGGAGGCTGGGTATCAGTGGGAAGTGTGTTCAGTGCTTTCTTACATGCAAAGATGCTTAAAATAATGTGTATCCTATCCTCAAGAAATTCATAAATGGGCAAATACAGGAACGGTGGGCCCGCAGAGTATACTACTGCCTAGAGCAGAAGGGAAGGTTGTGTCTTCACCCATGTTTGGAAACAGAGAGGCACATGTCAGGCCACAGCCGCTCCAAGTCCATCTTGAAGAACTGATTTCTCTCAGTGACTTGCTTGGTGGGCAGGTACCAGGGGAAGAGGGAGAGAGGGAGAGAGGTTTTTTGTTTTGTTTTTTTTTTTTTGGAGACAGGGTTTCTCTGGTTATGTCTTTAAGTGTAAAGTGGCCCTTGGTGGGAAAGACTGTTGAGGTCGAGGCATAGGAACCATCCAGCCCCCACGGCCCAGAGACAAAGGGACACTGAATCCAGTCAGCAATGTGGGTAACTAAGGAGCAGAGGCTCTCAACAAGGCCAGGCACCCCCTCCCCAAACTAGATGGAGCGTGAGGAAACCCCTTGCTTTTTAATGTCGTCTGTGGCCACAAAGAGGAGGTCCTAGCACAGGGCAGAGGCAGTGAGAACCCTGGTGTTCTGGAGTAAATGAGGTGGCACCTGCACATTTGGTGACTGAGTAGGAAGGGGTCTTGTAGCAGAGTCAGGAGGAGAGGCTTGAGAATGGTGTAGCAGGAGTTACTCTGGCAGCATTTGAAGCAGGGCCGGGTTCCTGAATCCCATTGTGGAGTGCTTGCTCTAAACAGGAGCCCCATGCATGGTGGAAGCAGAAGCTTGAGCCCTGACCCGGGGCTGCTCAGATCCTGCCGGCTCTCCTGGGCCGAGGTGACTCTGCCTGACAGACCAGTTAGCTGCCTTCCCACCACACCAGCCAGTGCTGGCAGCAGAAAGACTGTGAACATTTGGGGAGAAATGAGCATTTTGTTTCGAAGTATTTTTCCACTGCTTTCCAATGCTGATCTCGGAGTGGATGCGGGGTATGTGTGCACACGTGTGTCACGGTCACAGGACTGCTGAGCTCCCGACTCAGCAAGGCGCAGGAGCTCAGCCGCCGCCTCCGGGCAAGGGAAGCAGCGGGGCTGGATCAGGGAGCCGCCGGTGGGAGGGGAAGTGCCATTGTGACCTACCCAGGTCCCTCCCCTCCGCGGGCACTGTGATGCTGCTGGGCCACTGCTGGCCCAGCATGTCTGTCTCTGGCCCCCTCCCTCGCAGTGTGTCACAACCGCGGAGGCGGCCGTATCTGGAGCAGTTGGGGTGGGCAGGCCCAGCTGGGAGGCGAGCGGGCGAGGAGAGCGGCCACGATGGTGAGACTTCCCGGCCATGGGCTAGTCAGGGACGTGCGCAGGTGCCCCGGTAGAGAGCTGCGGGGCCATGGAGTAGCTGCGGGATAGCTTTGGATTCGTTGAGCTCTCTTGGAGGGGGTGTGGGTCAATTCAGGACCAAGAGTCGTATTCCAGGGGTGGGAAACATCTAGTTGTCAGGTACCGTTTATTTTGCAGAGCAAGTGGAGAGCAGGGGCCGTTCGCCCCTTGCAGGGACCTAGGGGAGATTTGCGTTCGCTAATCAGAGGAGGGCGGACCTGGAGAACGGGTGAGAGGCGAGTGACACTCTGGGAGACCCCCACTGGTGGTTAGAGTGAGAAGAAATGGGATGCCAGGGACTGGGTGGCTGGGCGAGTAGATGGAGTCGAGTCTCCAAACCCAATGGGGTCATTCTCCACTCTCATCATCCGGTCGTCCGCTTGGGTTTGGGCAGCTTCAATTCGAACTGGGTCCTCTGGACCCGGCCAGCTCCGCAGGCACCTGCTGCTTGTGCTGGCTTTCTGGCCATCGTCTTGGGTTTGGCGCACCCTCGATTCGAGCTGGGTCCTCTGGACCCAACCAGCTTCGCAGGCGCCTGGCGCTGGTGCCAGCTCTTCACCAGCGGTCAAAGTCAGAAAGACTTTGGGACTCGTAAGTTTCCCTCCCTGGAGACCTGGGGACATCAGCAGTTTAATTTTATTTTCTTTCTTGGCTTCGAGGCAGCGACTCCTCACTGGTGGCTGTCTCCTCTAGCGGCTGTTACCTTCTAGCTAGAGAGACCCCCTCCCGAGCGCCTCATCAGCTCTGCCAAAAGCCCCTGGGGTGTCGGCCTCAATTACACCCTCCCACCCATCCCGGACGCCTGGAAGCCCTGGGGTTTCTGCAGAGAAGTGGGGCAGAAAGGTTAGGGTGGCGGGTGGGGCAGAATAGCTCACAGACCAAGGTCAGGTTCACCGAGCGAGCGCACTTGCTTGGTGTCGGTGTCAGGGCAGCTGCGCCAGAACCTCCCTTCTCTCCTCCCCACCCCATCTCCCCTCCCTTTCCCCTCCTCCTCCGCCTCCTTTCTCCCTCCCCTCTCTCCTTCCCCCTCCCCTCCCCTCCACTCTCCTTTCTCTCTCCTCCCTCTCCTTTCCCCCTTCTCTTGTTTTCCACCTCCCCCCCCCGCGCGCTCTGGCTGTTCATTTGTGAGAGTGCCCAAGAGTTTCTGGCGCAGGCCCTCCTGTTAGTCCTAACTCTAAGCCTGTCCATCACTCCTCACTCCCCAGCAAGCTCCCAGACACACCTGGGAGCTTGAAGAATTTGAGAACTCAGGAGAGAGTGGCCAGAGGAAACCACTTCTGGTACCTGGTTTGGGATCTTAGAAGGAATGCCGAGCTGAAGTTCAGATTTTAGCGCTTGGCTATGCAGCTAGTTGTGTGACTTCAGGAAGGTCATTAAACTTCTCTGGACTGATTTTTCTCATCTACAAAATGAAGAGGACTGAGTTCAAATTTCCAAGACTCTACATACATTTTATTATTTTTAGGTTTTTATAAAGTGATTTAAATATACATGTTATATATACGTATATGAAGAGTAAATAAGTTTATTCTATACATCATCCAACTTTGCATATTTGCTATAATCAGTCATTTGTTTTTTTAAGACATGGTTTCTCTGTGCAGCCCTGGCTGTCCTGGAACTTGCTCTCTAGACCAGGCTGGCCTCAAATTCTGAGGTCCATTTTTGCCTCCTGAGTGCTGGGATTAAAGGCGTGCACTATCACATCCAGAAAAAAAGTCAAAATACTTATTAGTGTGTTTTTGTGTGCCTGTGTGTGTTTGTGTAGCAGGGTTCTCCTTTCATCACGGAATTTGGTGATCAGACTCAAGTCATCAGGCTTGTTTAACCAGTGCTTTTACCTGTTGAGCCGTCTGTGTGGCCTCGGCTATCAGACTTGCTTTGTTATTTGGCCACACCTGCAGAACTGATAATTACCACTCACAGCTCCCAGTGCTTTATGGTTTTCAAAGTGCTCTCATATCCATACTTCAGGCATTCTGATCTGAGTGTCCACAGCATAGAGCCCACAAGACATTTGGAGGAGGGGCAAAGACAGTAATCCAACCCGTGGAAAAATGCCAGTGTCTGCTGAATGAATATACCTGGGAAACAAAACACAAAAAACAAAACACAGTAAAGTTGAAGCGGTTCTGAAAACCTAAATGGTCAAATAACTTGAAAAGAGCCCATCATTTTATCGAGAGCCCCTGAACTTTGAGTACTGAGAACTTTCCTTAATGCCCAGCACTGTTTTGATGCATAACAGTCTCCATTCACAGAACCTCTTAGTGAAATTTTTTCTTTTTACCTCCTCCCTCCCTCTTTATTTTTCATTTTGAGATAGATCTCATTATGGTGTTCAGGCTTCCTTTAAACTTGTGTTGTTTCTGCTCAGGAGCTGGGAGACTCGATGCTTTTCTTCTTTTCCTTTCTTCTTACATGGGAAGTGGGGGACCCTGAGGCTAAGTCTTGTATGCTTGGCAGCTGTGCTACCTTTGAGACACATCCCCAGACCCCCTCATTCCTGAAGGATTAGAACGACCAATTTGTAAACCCTGATCTGAAGTATCCCACCCTTTCGAGAATGTCTTCACTTCCTCCAGTGGGTCAGGTTTTAGGCAGCCAGCCTCCATGCCCCTCTTCCTATGCGGTCATGGGGGCGCAAGGAAGGTAAGCAGAATTAACTTTGCCATTTCCATTTTAATTGGGTAAGAAATATGTAAGTCGTCCCCACACATATTTTCAGTGTGGTCATTCTTCAATTTCTGGGCGGGTGGGCATGTGATTTCCCAGGTGCAGATCTTATGACTTCCCAGGTGGTCCCACACCAGATACTCCAGCATACAGCTCATGCCATCTCTCTAAAGCCTTTCTTCTTAAACATCAGCCGGCAGGTCAGTTCTATACCCCAGCATCCCATCTGTTGTCTGTGCTCTTCCAACAAGCAAGCCCTGCGAATGTGACGATGACACTAAATTTTAGAAGGTGCTATGGAGATCCTTGGCCAGGTACCCTAAGCTGAACCCATATCAATGGTAGCAGGGACCAGAGAGAGTTTTTATAAAGGTCACAGGGAGATGGGGACACTTATGTGACATTTGAAATACCTTCATGCCCAATTCCTTTAGCTTTGAGGAACGCTGGCTGCGTGAGATGGAAATGGACACAAGCGGTGACAAAGATCACATACACTTGCAAAACTTGGCGGTTAGAGAGGAGTTGGCAAAATTGGCAGTGTGTCTGGGGGTGGAGGTGGAGTCGTTGTCATATCTGGTGTCCTCTGCCATCATGCAACTGTACCACGAGGCTGTGCTGTGCAAAGTAGATGATCATTGTGTCTCAGAGCACCATGGGGGCTACGGCCATTTCTCCCTTCCTATCACCAACGGCAAGTTTTTCCTCCTAGGTACTTGGGTACCTGCTCCAGAGTCATGGGTCCTTGGTTAAAGCGATGGGGCGAAGCTGTTAAGTGAGTCTTGACAGCAATCTTTTAGGCTCAAGCTAGTACACAGCTGAGGGAGGGGTGTTTACTATGTGTCCTTGATGAGGGGGCTCCTTGGTGACCTCGATGGCTCCTAGGCTTCTAGGATGAGAAATTAACTTTGAGGAGGAAAGGGCTGGTGACTAGGTCAGTGATTGGGAAGGGTGGGAGGATGTGGCATCCTTTGAGGAAGGAAGTGCACCAGCTGCTCACTTTTTTTGGCTGCTGGGGAGTTGACATTGCTGTGGCCTTTGTGGCGGTTACTTGCTTTCTCCTGGAAGACCATGACAAAGCTTTTGCATGACATTGAAGGCTGGAGCCTGTCCTGTCTCAAAGCCAGCTGGAGTCCGAGGGCCTTTGCCATCACAGGGCCTCTTGTGCCAGAATCCGCTTACCAATCACTTCCATCGCTGGTCTCTCATCAGCACCGCTGCTGCCCACGTCGTCCGAGCCCCACTCCTGAGCTGCCTTCTCTCACTGATGCTCGTTTAGGTCAGCTCTGTTCAGACTGTTGCTCATTTGCTGTCTTGTCTTTCTTGCCAGTGATCCCAAATACACTCTAATTGAAGGGTCTGAGCGGAGACAGCGCAATCTTTGATGAGTCACGTTTGCTCTTGCTTTAATTATCCCTTTGGAACACTATGGATCTACTTTTTATTTGTCAGCTTTGTGACCTAGGCCCTAAAATACATGTGACTTTATTTTTTAATTCTAGCCCAACAGCTAGAAATAATGCTGTGTTAATAGGCGCCTGAGAGCGACTGCCTGGCAACTGAGTACACAGGTGGCCAGGGGACAATGGACCTGTCTGAGTCCTTCACACGGTTTCTGATGCTGGTGTGAGTCACCAACTATCCTAGAGAAATACTTCACTGTTACTTTTTTATGTGAAACCTTGAACTGACTTTTTTTTCAGTCCAGGGTCTTCAATGTACTTGAACATTCTCTGTCATACTGGACTGTGTCACTGCATCAAAATGTTGTCATAAGACTCAGAGCATGCTTCCACAAAGTAAAAGGGGCTGGCATTACCAAAATAGAGGCTATATATTAAATAGGGGCAACACAAGGGTTTCTTGCAGTACGCTCTAAGGGCTGCAGAGTTCTAGAATATAATTTTGTGACATATGCTCTCCATGGAGGATGGGCGGAGGGGACACAGCTGTCCCACCAGCTCTGCCCCTCATGGGCTCATGCTCCATATAAACTGGCAGTCTCGGGACATGTTCTGAATTCTCCAGTCTCTTGTTCACTGTTCCCAAGCACACTCAAACATGCCCCCAGGCCGTCTCAACGCATCAGGGGCCTGTTGGCAGTTGTGGGTCCCTTGGTTGAACTCCCATGAGCTGCGATTAAGTGTTCTTAGGCTTTGCCTGCTCTTCATGTTAAATGGTTCATAAAACCATGGAGGGTTCTTATTCCACTCATCTCTGCTGTGTCCAAGCACTGTGCTTGGTGCTGGAAGTTCAATTGCTTGCCC